ATCGGAAGAGCTCTATTCAAGGCAGGTAGAAAAGCTATATGATAGTGTAGATAGAATTCGAGATGGGGGAATCAGTGAATTTGAAAGGAATAGCATCTGCTGAATTGCACAATGGAATTCATTCGTATCTCTCCTACTCACAAATACTGGGAGAGTATGCCAACCGTCCAGGGAACTGGATATTCATCATAACCAACATAGTTTGTTTATCGATTATCGATTTGAAGGGCGAAGACTTTTCTCTATTCTATCAATTTGTCATTCCCTTATTGGTGGGTATTGCCATGTACTTAATAAAGATGCTCTATTATTCAATGACCAAACATCAACAAGACAAACAAATCAACAAGAGAAGAGTGACCATATTCAAAAGGTTGAAGAGAATCAACTCAACAAATAAGACTCTCGTTCACGAGGACACAAAACTTCCTAATAACAATGATATCATCCTCTTTTCAGCTCCACGCAAATAAGATGTATACAAACCCATGATAATTTCATCGTTCAGAGAAGAAAAGAAGGTCTAATCAACTCCAAGACCTGAACAGAAAGTGCAGATATTTGAAACTGTCTGTTGGGATGAGGTGGAAGTGGGTGACATAGTTGTATTGTAAAGAAATGAGATCTCTCCTGCAGATCTATTGATTTTGGAATCCAATTCAGATCATTGCAATGTTGATGTTGCTAATTTTACTGGAAATACCAATCAGATATACAAATCACCCAACATCTTAACCAGCATGTCTAGAATGCATCAATTTAAAAATAACTCCTTTGAGTATAGACTTTTACTAAGTGGTAAAGTCAATTATGATAGGAACAACACTGACAAATCCTTATATTCAGGTTTTGTGAGACTCAAAAACGACCCTCAAGCCATAGACATCAAAAAGGAGAACATCCTATTCAGAGAATAACTCCTATTGAATTGCGATTACATCTACGGATTAGTCCTCTTTGCGGGATTGAGTTGTCGCTACTACTACAATTAACCCAAGACCAGAGTGAATCATTCTTTCTTTTACACCAAAGTTGACAGGTTCTTTTAGTTCACACTGGTCCTCCTGATTGTTCTCTCCTTTGCCTCTTGGATGACGGAATCATTAAGGTTTATGGCTTATGGTCGATCATGGAGTCTTCAAACTTTGTGTAAGTATCTTTTGGGATATCTTAATATGATCCCCTACTATTTACACTTTATGTTTGATTTCATGACTTTATGTACAATGATATTTAAATAGTACTAATTCCACAAGCAGGCAACTCAATCCATTCCGAAGACCTCCGACTCTGCTCCTCTGCAATTGTCATCCAACTATCAGAGAATCAATGACTCCCCTCTGGCTGATCTAAGCCTAATAGACAGTGTGATATTTGATAAGACTGGTACAATGACCATTCCATCCTTCAAATTGAAGATGGTTCATTTCAATGATCAATTGTTCTCCATCAAGCATAAAACATTTGATGATTTGTATTAGTGGAAAACCTACCAGCAACAACAACAGGATAATCAGGAACTCCAACAATTCTTGATGAAAGAGTCCCAATCTCAATAAAAGGAGGCATCCCAAGTGAGGATCTCTCCAAAACCCAAGCAAATGAAACGCATCTCCAAACACCCATCAATCAGACCTGTTTTATAAGAGGAATTGCAGATACCCTCCAATCAGGAGAATTGTGATACCAATAATAACGATTAAGCTAATTTTGACCCTGAAGAAATAATCGATGATAATTTCAAACTAAGAGACATACATCGAAGTAAACAACCTAAAATATTTCAGGATTCATGGGGATCAAACACAGATATCAACAATTATGGATAAGGAAGTGGAGTCTAATAATATTTATAACAATAACAATAAAATAGCAATATGAATATCAACAGTATATAATAATAGAGTAGCAACAATAATATCAACAATCAATAGTAACAAAACAACAATCAATAACAATCTTTGAATAGTAATCAGTAACAACAATAAAGTCCCAAAGATATGAAGAAATCTACTCTGATATCTGGAATCACTATTCGAGCTAAGCACAGTATCAAAATGGATAGATCTGAAAAACAGAAGAGGTTTGGAGCTGAAAGATCAATGAATTTCACTAAATTCATGTCAGAAGATGGTCTAAATAAGAACAACGAAGACTTAAGAAGTTTGGATGAGAAGGATTTTCTGAATAAATTGATTACAAGTGAAAGTAGAAAATAAACGGAAGAATCCATCTTTATCTTAATGATTTGTCACAACACCCAATCCACCTACAATAAATCTGAAGATACATTCAAACATGAATTTTCATCCAAAATAGATAATCTACAATTAGAGTTCATCTCTCACTTCAATTACAGATTCATATGTTCAGCAGTAAATAAAAGTAAATACATTGTTGAAATCAATGGCAGACTGACTGAAGTGCCAGTTACTGTAACTCAATTGGAACATTATAAAGTAAGTGTAATACTAACAAAATAAGATTACAGGAGATTCTTTGAAGATATTGATTAAGCATATGATTATGTTTAATTTATCAGAGATGATAGTCAAGAGATGAGTGATTAGATATTAATGAATAAGGAGGAGAGGGAGAAATGGGACAACATGATCTATAAACTTTATATGAATGGATGCAGACCAGTCGTTTTCTTTAAATCCTTTATGGACACTAACTAATATTAACAATTCTTAAAAAACCCTTTGTAAGAATTGAAAACATAGCCAAGAGCCTATGAATTGAGTTTGGTCATAGGAATCAAGGAGAAATTACGAAAGTCTATTACCACAGTCATCAAAAATTTCCTTGCTGCAGATATGATCATTTGGATTGCCAGTGGAGATACATTAGATAAAGTGTTACCCATTGCCTATAAAACAGAAATCTTGAAGGACTTGATTCCAATAATCCATTTTGATTCCCAAGATGCCACTCTATAGATCAAACAGTAAATCCAATGGTTATATAACAACTAAATAAAGCATTTGAAGGATGACTCAACAATTGTAGACAAACGATTATCTGATCGTTTAGTGATGAGTCCAAGTCAGAAACGGAAATCTATCCACACAAGTGGTCGTAGACAAAGTGCCAAAGGGTTCCTGCCTGGATTATAGAGTTCCCAATAAAGAATTAAACCATTTTCTATTTTGATTCATGGAGAAACTTTGGATAAAATATCACAAGATAATTCATTGTTCAATCATCTGTGTTTTATCGTTGCATTCTCCACTTCAGTTGTAGGTTATAGGATGACTAAGACTCAAAAGGCAATACTAGTTAAGATACTCTAAGAAAAATAAGTTTGGAGAAGGAGAGTCTTAGTCATTGGAGATGATAACAACGATAGTAGATTGATGGCATACTCTGATTTTGCTATTTAATTATAGAGTCAAAGACTTTATCAATAGGTTGCCGTTGAAAAGATGGAACAATTACAGAGAACTAAAAAGGACTCAAAAAGCATCAAGCTTCATTAGATCACGTTTAAGCCTGCAATAAAGGATTTCAAAAGTAAGTATTCCAGTTAAAATAGAGTATTAGTATAATAATATACCTTATGTTGGCACAACAGATATTGTTGTTAAAGATTATCCAAACTTAATGTGCACAGTCTTATCTGAAAGTAGACAGTCAGCCGAATTGTTGGAGAATATCATAACCTTCTCCTTCTATCGAAGTTATTTGCTCTGCTTTACATTGTTTTTTTAGATTCTATTCAAAGGCATCACCTATTATCCTCCATTAGATTACTTTCAAAGCTTTCTATATATCATTCCATGTCTCTTGCTATACATTCAGAGGATGACTCCAAAAGGGGAGAAAGCCACCAACATCAAAAATTAATTAGTCTATTTCTTTAATCAAAACCAACTAGATTTTAGACAGATGAGATACTGGCTATTCTTCTACAAGGTAATACTCTATTCAGCATCTGAAGCCTTAATTATAGCAATCATGATAAGTATTATGGATATTAGGAACAACAAAGGATAAACCTTTGATGAAGAAATGAAATCGATCCAAATGTTTGTTATCATATTGTTATTGGACTTAACAAAATAATTAACTCATGCTAATTTGTACTAATATATAATATTGCCTATCTCTTATTTTGCTTTCTGCACAATTGGTTACTTGGACTACTTTGCTTATAATATGTTTGATCTATTCTAATACATTATATCTTTTGAATCATTCTTATTTATATTATCGTTGCAACTATTGTTTTTTTGTTTTTAGAAGACTCTAACTCAATTTCATTCCATTTATGTTCATACTACACTATACAAAGAGGACGAGCAGATTGAGATAAATAATAAGGTCAAACCGATCTAAATACATAATTAGAAGAGAAGAAAGGACAATTTGGTGATAAATATCCAGAAATATATATTGAAATTATTTAAGACCGAAGAGGAAATAGATCCAATAATAAAGTAGATTTTATCTGGGATAGTTTTGAGTGTAAAGACCACCAAAATAAATAAGATTACTTAGACTTTCAAAAATATTCAATTAGAAATCAAATATCAACTAAATGAGTTACCATCCATAATTGAATATTACAGATTGTATTATCCCCTTAGTTGGATGTTGGTGGAAGGAGCAATCTTAGTTTAGATTTGGTTGATCAATAGAGATGTAGATTATACTTGGTTTTTGTATTTTACATTTGGATATAATGCAGCATAGGTGTTGATGGCATTGTTCATATACACAGTGGCATTCTAGAAATATCATTTCAGAATTAGTAAGATTTTGATCACAAGTCGTTTGATCTATAAAATTGTTTATGATGCTTATTTTTATTAGGATAATGATAATGAGTTGACAGACATGTTGATCATGTAGCTATTTATGTTATAACCATTAATAGATGATCGACCTTTGACAATCATCTTCTATTGTTTTGCTCTCAATATCAGTTTTATAATCAGATTCAGTGCTAATAATACGACCAGTGATGCCAACTTTAATAAATACATTATGTTGAATTACTATTTGATTGCATTGATGCAGACAGCCTTGTCAAGTGGAATGCACTTCAGAGTTCAGAGAAATTCAAGAGAGGAGTTCATTCAAATGCTGACTTTGGATCAATAGACAAATTCAATTAGTGACACTTTGAGTATTTTGATGCCGAAGTTCATTAGAAATATAATAAATCAGAAAGGTGAATTCGATATTTAGGAGAATCAAGGAGAAGTGGCAATATTATTTTGTGACATTTGCTAATTTGATAAAATAATCAAGGCAGAAAAGGAGAATGTGATACATTTATTGGATATCTTATTCAGATAATATGATTCATTGTGTAGTTAATATGGATTATAGAAGATAGAAACAGTTGGTAAAACCTATATGGCAGCTGCAGGATTAAAGAACATAGTCTCTTAAAACAGTGCTAATCCAGTACTTAGAGCAATCCAAGTGGCATTTGAAATGAGGAAATTTGCATCCTAATAAGATTTCAGTGGATCTGGGGAAATAATAGTGAAAATAGGTGTTCATTATGGCAATGTGATTGCAGGAGTGATTGGTTATCATAAGCCTTAATTCTCATTGATTGGTGACACAGTTAATACTACAAGTAGAGTATGTTCGACTGGATAAGATGGTCAGATCAAGATTTCAGATGACGCCTACAAATTAGTTAGTGGATCATAGGATTTCATATTTACAAAGGATTTGGTCGATGCAAAGGGTAAAGGAGTTTTAGTAACCTATATATTATCCGAATAGGAACAAAGAAAATCATTAAGACATAAGAAATAGTGTGTTAAGGATGGAAAAGGTAAGAATAATCAACAGAATTCGGTGGCTACACAGGATAATTCAGAGAGGGTAGGGAGAAACCAGAAGGTGAAGAGAAAACCAACACTTGTATTGCCTCATTTGAAATAGAGTAATCCGAAATTACAACACAAATCAAGTCTTAATGTAGATGGGCAATAACAATAGAATTCACATGGGGATAGTGATCATGCGAATTAGATAGGATATAAAATGAGTGTGGAAGGAGCCAATTTGATTGAAGCAATAGAGATTAAATTGGGAAAAGAGAATTTATTGGTGGATGAGAATTTTGATTTTCCAAATAGTGAAATAGAGAAGGAGAAGTTGAAGCAATTATATCAGAGTGATGAGGAATTCATAGAAACCGATGTTTTGGTATTGGATAAAAGAAAACTGTTTTTGGACTTTGATCCAGAGGTTGATTAATTTCATATAAATGATTTCTATAGGGAATTAACAAAGAAGAATACAGTGCTGGTCATTTTATTAAAGGCAGGAGTGACAGCGTTGTTGTTGGTTTAAAATACATCAACAATATTAATTGCACAGATATTTGAGAACTAATACACTTGGTATATCAATCTATCTTTTGGATATGTAATTGTGGTGATCAAGACTGTGTTCTTAGTGTTATTGATAATGAAATAATATAGAGAGAAATATTTCAAGGAGATTTACTTCATCTATAGTTATATCATAACAATGATATGGTGGATCATTCATATCTTCTCTTATTAGAGTTTTATAGTTGGTGAAATCTGCATTGCTGTTGGAGTCTTCTTGTCATTCATGACCTAATTGAACCCTATTATTAAGATGAAGTACAAGGTTATAGAGAGTATCTCGATGATTTCAGTCAATTTGATTGTGGTTATGGTCAAAAATTGGGAAAAGAGTCTCATTTATTATGCCATCATCTTATAATTAATCTTTATTTCAAACCAGATTTATAAATTCAACAAGAATGTCCAATTATATAACAACAAATGCAAACTAAAGGCTAAACATTAATAGTTAGACTCCTTGGTTAAACATCAATTACCAAGCCATATGCTCGAACAATTTCTCAAATTCTAACAACAAAGAGCTGTCCTTAAAGACAGTTATGAAAATGTTACTCTATTATTTGCTGACATTGCTGGTTTTACTGAATATTCCAGCAAAGTCTCCCCAGAATAGGTTGTGTTCATGTTACGTAATCTCTTCACTGAGTTTGATAAGTGTTGCTAAGAAAAGTCAGTCTATAAATTGTATACCATTGGGGATTGTTATGTTGTAATGGGTATGTTGGATGCCAAAGATAGAAATATAGCACAAGAGGCTAAGAATACTGTGGAATTGGGATTTGAAATGATTAGCATTATTAAGAGAGTCAGAGACCATATTAATTTTCAAGGGTTAGACATGCGTATTGGAATTCACACAGGTAATATTATAGGCGGAGTCTTGGGTACTGAAATAGTTAGGTATGATATCTATGGACCAGATGTTCTTATTGCCAATAAGATGGAATCAAAGGGAGAAAGAGGTTATCTCCAGGTTTCTTCAACAACCAAAGAAATCTTGGAGTAACACTACCCTGAAGAATTCAGATACTGCTTTCACACGCGCGTAGATATCCCATCTATAGACACATCCACTGATGGATATTTCATTACTATTAGAACCTTTGATGAACTTTCCATGGATTTGTAGGAACATCATTCAGAAAGTTGTCGTTGAGTACTAACAATATTCTATTTACATTTTATAATCTATGTACTTTATCATTATCCATCTAAAATGCATTCCCAAATTACTAACTGAATTAATTAACAATCTATAATATAGACTAAGTATATTACATCATATAAATATAAATAAAAATATGATATTAATAAAAATGACGCTATTTGTTATTACATAATGAATCATCCAAATTTGAAATTAATATACTGTAATGATGAATTATCATAATTCAAAACCAACCAATATCTTACCTCTGGAAATCAATATTAAATACACCAAAACAAATGTAAAGGAAATAGTAATATGAAAATGACTTCAAAAACTTCAAGGAAGACAGTTAAATCTCGATTGATCAAATGCTCAAACAATAAGACTTGGCTGAAAAGTAAAAAGAGATTTGCCTCAGAAATTCAAAAACCTTCGAACTCTTCGCCACATGTATATATCTATTTCATCATATTTAGGTATGGAAAGACATGAAGGCAAAATTGACAACTTTGCAAAATACCTCTCCATCAAAATGCTATTCATTGAAAAACAGGCTCTTGAATGTTACAAAGGAAATACTAATGATAGAGAATACGAAAGGTGTCATCAAAGAATCGAATCATAACTACATGATGTCTATAATGATTACTACTAAGGTTTACTCAACCTCTGACTATTATTTATATATATAATTAATCAATAAATTTTAATATCTTATAGTTGCTTAAAAATCACTTTATATAAATTATAATCAAGTTTTTAATATATTCATAATATTCTCAAATACTTTATACATATTTATCAAATCGCTAATGTATTCATTATGATATGTAGCTTAAACAACGCTCTTATTTAATACATATTAAATAATTACATCATCATTGCAAGCAAAGCACCTCCCTACATATCCAGAAACGCATCGCTAGCAATAATTATGTGCGCATGGAATCACAGTAATCGTATTTTACAATTCCTTTCTACAAAGTTTGCAAGTAAGTTGCTGTCTTAAAGAAAACTAATTCATTATTGTAACACTTACTGTAAATTATTCTAACTGTTGAGATTTAATTGATAGATTTTTCATTTTTATTTAGCTTTCGTAGTTCTCGTCAATTGCTTTTCGTAGAGTGTCATCCATCCTTCTATAAGTCTCCTTATATTCTAACTCCAACTTCTTTAATTATTATGCTTAAGTAGAGTTGTCTATCTAATAACGTAAATCATTATTTAGCAATTTTAGATAAATAATTTGTTATTCCTGCTCCTCTAACTGCATTTTTAATTTTACATTTTCTAGTTTTAAATCCTCCGAAATCTTCACCTAAATTATCACTTTCTCTATATACTTGTTCTTCATACTTTTGTTCAAATTCCTATTGAAGTTTTTCAATTATTATACAATCAGATTATGACTTGGGTACATGCATTCTTTTTGAAATTGAGTCATCATTTTGTGTGGGTATTTACTTTTTGCGCTCATTTAATTGTTTCATAATACTTAACTGTCTTTTAGATTTAAGTGCATTTGTCTGTCTGCAAGCTTTCTCCAAACCTACACAGTTTGAGTTTTCGTAATTTAATTTTGTTTTATTGAATAGAATCTTTTGAGATGTTGTTTATTCTAATAGAGGTAGTTTACTTATAAGCATTCCGAATTAGTAAGAATGGAATTAAATTATATAAAATTAATAAATTCAAGTATGCATTCTTATTGAGAAATAAACTAAAGTTTTTTTGAATAATTTTATAAATTTATAATAAATTCAAGGCATACTACTCTTCACTATTTACACATTTTAGTTTAGGAGTTAAGTAGTTCTCAATTCCCAATCCTCATTGATTTAACTCTCGTACAATGTTTATGACTTTCTTATATCAAAGACCTATGAAAATACCCACTTGAAACTAGAGACTTATTCAATGGACTAAAGAAAAAACACTTTATAAATAGACTTACATTTAAAATGATATAAATTTTTGTCAGTCTTTAACAGATTTATTCTACAATGAATATTTTTATTGCCATAAGCATTATTGTTGCTGAGGTTGTATAATCTTTTATTAAAAATACTGGAAATGCTATAGACCTCATTTATCTTTCATCAGCCTATATTTGTTATAAAATTTACTATTTTAAGAACATCTTAAATTATTTCATATAAATTTTACTTTTCTCTTTCATTATGATTTTAGCCATCTCCAATTACTTAGTTTTTCAACAAAACAAAAATATAATTTTTTGAATTTTCTATTTTTTAAATAAGATCAAAGTACTTTCAGTAGATTTGACGAAATTGCATGTGTTATCATTCGTTTAAAATTTACATGGAACTGGAAATTTTTAAAATTAATCGTTCTCATATACCAAACAATCTACAGCTTCATTTTCTATTTTTCCAATGGTTAGATATACATTGCATTCATTAAATTTCTATAAACAAATTAATTACGATATGGTTGATTCTTACTCTATTTTTGAGTAACAAAAATTATTTCCCATTATTAGTATTATTATTATTATTCCCAAAAATAGTACTAATTGAAATAAAACCATAAATAATTTTAAACTTAATAGCAGATTTTACAATGAACATTAATTCAAAGTATTGATCTATGTAATTATACCTTGAAAAACTATAAATTAAATTGAAAATAAAAATTTCACATTTGGAAATGCTAAATTTATATGAATCGGAATATAAAATAGATGGCTTTTGAATTATAAAAATCCTTAATGTATTGATATATTAAACGTTCAAATTTATAATTAATTGATTGAATTCTATAAAAAATTGGTTAAAGATTCTGTTGTATGTTTCTAACAGTTCGAAATTTAATCCTTCGTTTCTGATTTTTCAAAACAATTTTGAGTCCAAAATGGCCAATATTTAACCATTGATTCATATGAGCGATCAACTGTCTTTCTCTTAATTTGCAATTACTGAATGCCTTTTGATATTGGAATAGCAAATACATTTGTAATATTCATCATAATTTTCATTGGATTACAAATAAATTTGATAGCATTTCTCTCTTTATTCATTTGTTTCTTTTTGAATATATCTTTGGAGAGATTACACATTGACAGTTAATTATTTTAGAAACAATTACTATTGCTGTTCAGCCATAATTAATAATTATTTTATAATACATTCACAATAATTCTTTCTAAAGAGTATATTCAAATTAATCCTGAAACATTGAAATCTAATCTCTGGCATTTTGAAGACACATCTATTCATCGAATTTGCTTTTGATATTTTTGAGACATTTATTGTTTGTATAATCAAGCACAAAGCGTAATTTATGTTGAAATAATTCTTATTAGATATTAAATAACTCATTTTTTCTACTATAATATCTAATACTACTTGAGCATGCATTCAATAAATTGCTCTCTATTGGATTAAGAGTGCCAGCAGTATTTAATAACCCTTCTTTGATATTTGTTTTGTATTTATTGATATTCTACTATTTGAGAATCATTTAAATTCATTAAATATATAATTTTATCAATTAATATTTTTTTAGAATTCATTTATATATCTCTAGACATCTGCTTTGGCTGATTCAACACATTTACCAGAGTCACCTGATTAAATGCACTTTTCAAATTGATTGCTCATGAACATCATCTTGAAATCAAATTATCTCATTTCTTTATCAACTACCTTACTTCTTCTCATCATACCTTGCATGAATTTAACAAAATACAATCTGAATATCTATTAACATCTTTGCTATTTTGAGATAAACAAGATAAATGAATGGTTTCTGGAACTCTTTGAACAAGTTATTCAAACCCTTTTTACAAGTTTTCCAATTGCTATTACAATTAAGCCTATGCTGGATGAGATTAATGCATGCCAGAAATAACTTTTATTTATTTTATTAAATTAATAATATAAACACATAAAAATCTGAAAAACATCGCCCTTCCTAATTTAATAGTTGAAAAATAATTAAAATCTCATTTTGTTACAACTTTATACTTAATACAATGGACCTTCAAGAAATAATATTTAATATATTTATTTTCATAAGAAATACCTAAGCAATGTATAATACTAAGTGTGTCTGTATTTTTCAAAAATTCCTATTAAATCTTTCTCATTCAAAATCATCCTGACTTATTTATATCACGAAGGCTTATTTCATATTCTTGTTTCGCTTAAACATAAAGTCTCCTTCTCTAACCTTAATCTTAACTTGAAATTTACCTTAGCTAGTAATTCTAATTGAATGCTTTTACTACATCTTCAAATTTAATTGAACCTCTGACGCCTATGGTTATCATTCTATATTTATTCTATCAGTCCTAAAAACTTGAGAATGAATTAAAAATTATATCAATTTATTGAGTTAAATTATCCTTTAAGAGTATTTTTTGACTTTCTATTTTTCAACTGATTACGATTTAGGACCAGTTGCTTTTTTTAGTGAATTTCATACATTAGGTTTCATGAATCATTCCAGTTTCTTGTTAAGTCCATTAAATAACAATTTCCTTGAATCAATCTGTTGATTTAGCTGAAACTGAAATTTGTTACTTCATTTTAGTTCTTCTTTAATTAAAAATGGATTGTTTGTATATTTTAATTGTAATTAGAAATTACTTTCTTTTGGATTTCCTCAAATTAATTCAAAAATTAGTACATAATTAAATTAAAATGATTTTCCTAAAAAAGTCAAATACTTGTAAAATTAATGACCTTCATTTCCAATTTAGCTAATTAAACTGAAATATCATTCTCATATACCTCCTCCAGTGATTTACTGAATTTATCTTTTAGGTTAATTAAATTCTTTATTTATTATAAATATATATAGTAAATGGTAATTATCTATTATTTAATTTTGAGATGACGACAGATTAATTAGTTTCATTATATTAATTAATAAATATTATTTCTAAAATCATTTATTATTATAATAATTGAGCCTTTATGTTTCATCCAGCTTCGACCAGATTTCATCTTCCTACTATTGTTCAAAAAGAAGTTTCACCAATAAAGGAAACCAATATAAGAAATATGAGACCCTCTCTTTTTTTAAATTAAATTGATGTTCTTCCTCATTCCCTAAAAACAGAAGCTGAAGCACCCAATGAAAAATCTGCAACTAAAGTGTACACTTAATCTGAAAGTGATCCACTTATAGAAATTCCTTATCATTTTAAACTACCCTAACTAGTCAAAACCAGACCCAAGAGATACTAGAGATCCTTGCCTGAAATTCCAATTCTTGCACAAATTTCTCAAAATGACACTCCTATTGAATTTGAGAGGTCATAAAAGAGAACTAAGCTATTTTTAAAAAGATAAGATTCAAAAATATTGGAATCAGTATCAAAGTTTTAAAGGAAGAAAGTGGAATTTAAGAAATCTTTGATTATAATAGATATAGAAACAGGAAATTAAGATAGACAAGAAATATCTTAGACTTAAAAACCCCTTAGAAGAATAGCACATCAAAAAACTAAATCATTTCAAATCAGAAATGAATGATTAAAATATTAACCTTCTAATCTAATCTATCTTATATATCATAAAATAATATAAAGTATATTCTCAGAATATTACAACACTTTACATAATTTATTTACAAATTTAAATTTAAAGAGACTTTCCTTTAAGTTAATCAAGCAATACTGAAGAATAAGAAGTTTAATAAAATATAAAAGTAATAAAATAAATTTCTATTTCATTGACTAGATGAAATATTCAACTTTGAGATTGTCAGAACATTAACCTTACATAGTTTCCTCACTTAGATTTGAACATCAAGAGAAGCTTTCATTAAAAGATAGGGCTATAATTGATTAATATAAAGAAAATCCCCATCTGCCAAAATAAGTAATACAAGAGAATTAGCAAAGAAAAGACAGAAGATTTTACAATTAATCGAATCTTAGTGAATAACTCCCTAAAGTTAAATTAAACCAATAAAAGTGCAATACAATTATTTCTGATAGAAACGATAATTATATTTGTAAAACTACTGCAAGTAATTCAGATGAATTAATTTCAAAATACTCAATTATCTAAGTTGATTACAAGAATGGCATCTCTTCTGGAAAAAAGCTTTCTCCCATTAGATTATAGAAGCATCTTTTAAAGTTGAGTTTCTAAAATTTAATGAAATGTTAACATAGTTATAAGAAGAAGAAAACGGATATATCAATATTAAGTCTCTACCCCACTTATTTTGCTATAAAATGATTATTTATTGAATTAAAAGTACTAATTTTAGTCATAATATTTTATTTTTAAAGAGACCTTGACCTGTTTCATTTTTACTACTTCCATCAAATAGATTTTAGAATATTAAGTCTCTTAATAATATAAGCAATTTAGTAAAATTATTAATAAGATTGTAGTTCAGAATTAAATCAATTAAAAATTAATTCAAAAACAAAAGAATCAATATTAATAGTTAACATTTCATCTATTGTGAAAATCAGAACAATCAATCAAATATTATCTGTAAAAATATTCATTCTTTATATTGAAATAGGATAATTATTTATTGATGAATTTTTTTCGCCAATATTAAAAACATCATATAAATTATTTTCCATTTTTATTTTACAATTATTATTGTTAACATTCATGTGATCGCTTACATACTACTTCTATCAATATGAATTGTAAGATTAGACCGAAAAGAGAGCGATTTAGTAAGAATATTAGTATGCCAACATCTCCTCACAGGGTAGATTGAAGGACTTCTCAAAGCACTATAAAATTTTTCATACAAGAAATTTTGATAGAAAACTATGGATAAATTATTAGATAAGGTGCTAGTAAATATTCTAATACTTCATTTAATCATTTTTTAAGACCGAAAAGCTTACACAAATTGTTATATACTTGAATTTAAGAATATTTTTTGAGATTACTTAATGAAAAAGTCATTTAGATCAAAATCATCTTGATATCACATAAATTCTTCAATTTTAAATGGTTTATAACAATTTTAATGAGTATTTTACATTATATCATATTTTATTTAAAATCCCAAAATGCACCTTGAGTAGAGACTACCAAATGTAAATAGTTAAGAAGTTTCTAGGATCGATTATTTCTCATTTTTGATATCTAGTCTAATTTAAATGAAGGAGTGGTTCATGTTATTATTCATAAGAGAGTGATATTTTCAAAGAATTATTTCGATTTAACCATAATCATAATAGAATTAATAATTTTGATAAAATTATTAAAATTTTTGGTTTTATAAGAATTTGGTAAAACAATGGACGAATATTCGAAAAATTTTTGTATTTATAATTGATTTAAATATTCTATTACTATTAATAATTTTAAATGACAGACAGCATATGTCCTAATTGTAAAGCCTTTGCTTACTTAGATCCAAGAACATCAACATCTTATTGTAAAACAAGTTTTTGTAATAACATTGTCATTGAATTCGGAACAATTAATAATCAAGATGATTGTAAATTGGGTGATCCTGATTAACCTGGAAATAAATAATCCAGATTTGGAGGATTTGAAAATAAAATTGAAGCTTATAAAAATAGCATTTGTGAAATGTTGGGAATAAGTGATTCTAAACAGAGAAAAAAATTTAATATTAGAATGGAAGCTGGAGAACATCGAATACACACTTTGAATAAAATTTTTAATATGAATGAAGCATTTACTAACGATGCCCTCTATAAATACAGATCCTTGATACGTTATCTATAGAGTGAAGTAAATTCTTTCTTAAATATTTTTAGATTCCAAGAAAAATCACCTTTTACGCCATAGCTGTCTATGCCTACTATCTAACTATGTAAGGAAGGAAGTCATATGATTAAAGATTAAGCAAAATTACATTAGAACTTATAGCTAAATATTCCAAAATTCCACCTCAATAAATTCATTAAGCAATTAGAGATTTAAATAATAATACAAATGGCTTTGCTTTTAAATTAGAAGATCTAGGATAACAAGACATCTGCTAATAAATTGCACTTAAAGTCTAGAAGCACAATCTACCATTTAATGATGATGAAATTTTGGCCATTAAAGATATCCCAAGTAGACTTATGGATAACAGTATCATTAGAGGTGAAAAAACTTCTACAATTGCATGGTAATGATTTTATAATAATTGTTAGTGTTGTTGAATACATGGTATCATAATTATCCAGCAATTCTGAATTAAATAAGTTAACAATCGATTAACTTGCTTAAATGAATGATGTATCAAAAGACACAGTTAAAAAATTATGGAATAAAATTATTGATAATTAATCCTCCCAAAATCATATTTCCAGATGGTAAGGATAAAGATCAATATCAGAGTTAAAACATATATACTGAAGTTATATTATAAAAACAACAAATACAAATATTTCTAAAAAGTCAGATAAATTACTTTTCTGCTTTATATTGTAATTTTCTATTTTTAATCTTTCATTCCATTTCTAATTTCATCTTTTTTTTGGTTCCATTGCCAACTGCTATTTGTTTCTCTTATAAATGACTTTTAGGTTCATTCTAACGTGTATTGTTAGATTTAATCATTCATCAAATTCTTCTACTTTTAACTATTCTGGCTGAATGCTCTATTTAATCAATTCTCTCTTCTAAAGTTTCTTACAATAACTTTCCTTATCAACATGATTTTATAATTCCAACCTATCCATCCTTCATTTTTATTTTCTATTTATTTTATAAGCTTTTTCTATTTTTAATGTAGGCCAATTTGGCAAAGAATTTTAATAGAAATTTGAGAGTTTATAAAAATTATTAAATAATAGTAAAATGGATTATTTTTTTTATATTGTTGGTAACAAATAATATGATTCTTAGAAAATATTCTATAGAATTCAAGCCTATTCAATAGGAATTATTGAATAAATATGAATTGTCGAATTTATAATTTTATGAATCTAAGATTTTAAATTGGAAAAATAACTATGATTGATGGAGATTAGAAATATAGAAGAAAGGAGATGGAAATTAAAATCATAAATATTGATTGCGCTTAATAAAATAAATATTTATTAATTTTATAAAAATAAACGATACTCTTTTTATTTTAGATTAATTTCTTTGATTATTAATATTTAAGTAAAAGTGGTATAAATAGATGAAAATACAAGACAAAACTGAATATCAAATACCTAAAATATAATTTAGGAATCAACATAATAAACTATAACTACCTTTCTTTATATATTCTAATTTGCAAAATCGTATATTATAACAAAGTATTTCATCATAGCATAATGAGTAAATCTAATTTATTTATAAAACTAATTAATATTTTTAAACAAAAACTTTCGATCAGAAGGTTTCCAATTCATATATTTTTATATATGTTTCAATTTATATTAATTAATAAACTATTTGAATATATAAAATAAAAAGAAAAAAATTGGAGTAGCCGAGCTTCGCTCTCGGCGCCTCGTGAATGCAAATCACGCGCTCTACTAAATGAGCTACTACCCCTGAGCTGATGATATTGGATATGTGTTTCTAATAAACACATACATGATAGAACTATAAATTATATAATTTAGAAAATGAAATTCTTTTAGATTAAAATTTTTAATAATTTATTTTATATCAAAGCCTAATCCAAGATATTTAGTGTAATATTGATTAATTAAGATATAAATCTAAGTTGATCCAATTGAATTATATTTAAACTTATTATAAATTTTCTAATATATTATTGTGATTGAAAATAAATTTGATGAATATATTAAATCGCTAATCAAACAAAGCATTCATCTAAATTAGATTAACTCTCTTTAGCTTGAATGAACTATTTTGGCTCTTTATGAATTTCCCTAAATAAGAAAGATATGATTACTCTGGTTAAGAACATTCACTGAATTATTCAGGATAGATTTTGGCAGTTTTAAAGGTTTTAGTTCCTTATATATATTATTTGAATTCTAGAATTTATTTTGCTTGTTCCATTAAGTATTCTCTAATTTTTCGGTATCTTGATTTAACTCTGATTCTCATTTCTTATCGATTTTGAAGTTCTTTATTTAGAAATCTATATTCCATTGTCCAAGGTGCTTTTTATCTAACTAAATCCCGAACCTTATCTAATTATATTTCTAAATCTCTTTTGTAGGATTGTAATATTTCCTTCAAAACAAGCAAGAGGAAATACAAATTGAGAGTTGCCAAGATTATGAAGTAAGGTATTTAAATTTCTAAGGAGCCATATATTTAATCAACATAGATTCCTATTCCAAGGGCAATAGAGATTTCACATACGTTGGCTGAATAGGCATCTAATCTATTTAAATTAGGAGATTAATAANTAAATTGGAAAAATAACTATGATTGATGGAGATTAGAAATATAGAAGAAAGGAGATGGAAATTAAAATCATAAATATTGATTGCGCTTAATAAAATAAATATTTATTAATTTTATAAAAATAAACGATACTCTTTTTATTTTAGATTAATTTCTTTGATTATTAATATTTAAGTAAAAGTGGTATAAATAGATGAAAATACAAGACAAAACTGAATATCAAATACCTAAAATATAATTTAGGAATCAACATAATAAACTATAACTACCTTTCTTTATATATTCTAATTTGCAAAATCGTATATTATAACAAAGTATTTCATCATAGCATAATGAGTAAATCTAATTTATTTATAAAACTAATTAATATTTTTAAACAAAAACTTTCGATCAGAAGGTTTCCAATTCATATATTTTTATATATGTTTCAATTTATATTAATTAATAAACTATTTGAATATATAAAATAAAAAGAAAAAAATTGGAGTAGCCGAGCTTCGCTCTCGGCGCCTCGTGAATGCAAATCACGCGCTCTACTAAATGAGCTACTACCCCTGAGCTGATGATATTGGATATGTGTTTCTAATAAACACATACATGATAGAACTATAAATTATATAATTTAGAAAATGAAATTCTTTTAGATTAAAATTTTTAATAATTTATTTTATATCAAAGCCTAATCCAAGATATTTAGTGTAATATTGATTAATTAAGATATAAATCTAAGTTGATCCAATTGAATTATATTTAAACTTATTATAAATTTTCTAATATATTATTGTGATTGAAAATAAATTTGATGAATATATTAAATCGCTAATCAAACAAAGCATTCATCTAAATTAGATTAACTCTCTTTAGCTTGAATGAACTATTTTGGCTCTTTATGAATTTCCCTAAATAAGAAAGATATGATTACTCTGGTTAAGAACATTCACTGAATTATTCAGGATAGATTTTGGCAGTTTTAAAGGTTTTAGTTCCTTATATATATTATTTGAATTCTAGAATTTATTTTGCTTGTTCCATTAAGTATTCTCTAATTTTTCGGTATCTTGATTTAACTCTGATTCTCATTTCTTATCGATTTTGAAGTTCTTTATTTAGAAATCTATATTCCATTGTCCAAGGTGCTTTTTATCTAACTAAATCCCGAACCTTATCTAATTATATTTCTAAATCTCTTTTGTAGGATTGTAATATTTCCTTCAAAACAAGCAAGAGGAAATACAAATTGAGAGTTGCCAAGATTATGAAGTAAGGTATTTAAATTTCTAAGGAGCCATATATTTAATCAACATAGATTCCTATTCCAAGGGCAATAGAGATTTCACATACGTTGGCTGAATAGGCATCTAATCTATTTAAATTAGGAGATTAATAAGGTTTAAATTTAGTATTGAGTTCCAAGTAGATATAAACGACCAATAATACAAGGATGCCTTTCTTGACAATAGTTTCATCATAATAAGAGAGAAAGATAATTAACAATTCCTTTTCCACAATTTTAACAATTTCCCAAAAATATACATCAGTCTTATATTCATTATAGAGATATCCCCATTATTGCCTGACTCTCTTATCATTAAGGTTGTCTTTATTTATGTACAAAGCATAATAAAAGAAAAATGGGATAAGGAAGGCTATAACCAATAAGCCTGGAAGACAAAATGATAAAAGCCACAAAAAATGAGAAAAAGTATCATATCTGTATGCAACATTAGCTTGAATCCACTTAACATTGGAGATATTCCTAAAGGATATCAAGGAAATTAAGCCACCTACTAAATTGGGTTGAAGATATATATACAGGTAGATGAAGGTTGTTGTTATTACACTTACACTATAAGCAACCTTCTTTAATTTGATTGCAATCCAGTACAATAGAAAGAAAATAAAGATGTAAATGAATGGCATAATCATCTACCAAATCATTCTTGAATAATGGATGTTGAAATAAAACATTTCCATTAAGAAGCAGTCAAGAGAATAGGTCATAGTTTAAATAGGGTTTCCGGAAGCATTTATTGCGCTTGCCATTCCGCTGGGCAGATTCAATTTAAAACTAGTGATAGTGGATAAGATCTGCAGATGATTGGTTAACATCTTGATGAGAATTCCAGAATAGGACTCTTACATTGACATGAAGAACCTTATCTTTTTTACTTGCACTTTTAATGCAATATCTTCAAGCAAGGAGACAGTACCCTTTACTGAAATCAGGATTGAAACCAAAGTCCTAAAAAAGTAGATCAATTATTTTATACCAGATACTGATAGCTGTTATAATTATTGAATTGGTATCTTTTTCAGCACATGAACTGCAAGAATACTTAGTACTTGTTGAGAAGTGACCCTCTCCACGTAAGTTATATATGTCACATTCTTCACATAATGCACCTATATGTCCGATAAAACAAGATGTATCTCCTTCTTTCCATCCTCCCAAACAGTTGCTTAGTAAATTGATACATGAACTAATCTGATCATTATAGAAATAAGGTCTCCAATATCCAGGTCTAAGATTCATTTGAGCTGATTTGATTTCTTTGGTAGATGAGTCATCTTTAATAGTACAATTCTGAGAATTGAAACTCACAGAATATTAACCTTACTCTGAATCACATGGCTAGCAGGTTAAGTCAGAAGTTCTCTTTATTTCACCCATTTAGCAAGGCAATGTCTTAATATTTAATCTTAAGTAATAGTTATTGTGATAACTGATTATTTCTTGCTGTTCCCCATATATTGGAACATAGATTGAATTGCAATAAAACTACATCTATAAAGTCATATTAAGTTCATCATCTAAGTAAAATATAATGTCATCTAAATTATAATCCGTAGAATTAAAACTTATATTTTTCATATTAGTGAAATTGTTACTAAATTCAGTAATTTCATCAGGTCTCAGTAATCCACCGCTAATTTCACAATAAGTATTATTTAAATTCTCTTAAACTTCATTTTGAGGATCCAAAGCTACAATTCTTAAATGCAAATTGTATTGATAATATTCACCTTTCTTCCAATCAAAATACTCATACTTTGAAAGCTTTTATCCATTTGGCACATACAAAGCATCTGAATATGTATTTGTAAATACTTGATATGGTTTTATTTCAATCTATTCTATTAGTAAATTACTCTATTCAATGATTTTCACTTTTGCCAATACATTCTTCGTATCAGTTGTTATAGACAGTGATGATGGTAATTATGCTTGATTTGCTCCAAATTTTAATGCATTATTCTCATTCAACACAGATCCTAATCTTGTCAAATTCTGACTAATTTAATCAGCAACGGCAAATCCTCCGCCAAATTAAGCAGTGTTATTTTGAATTGTACAATATGCTAAAATGAATGATTCTTCTCCAATCACGATCATAGATCCACCAGATTAATGTGCTACATTGTGTTGAAAAATTGAAGAAACAATTAAAGTTTTGATATTTGAAATCTAGAGACAAGTACCTTCATACCCATAATTAAAACTGCAAATGTAATCTTGTAGTTTAAAGTCATATTATTTCTTATTTATGTATTAATTCAAATTCTCAAGGATACGAGATGAAGAACTCGTTTTAACAATTTTTAAGCAACTTGATAATTCACAGATATTGTTTTAAACGTTAACATTTTTCATCGAGAGGGTTCCTTCCTTGCGCTGAAAGTTAATAAATAATAACCCATTGGGGCATTTGAGATACTAAAATGAAACTTATGAAATGCTTAAACTAGAATTATAAAGGTTGAGATATATTAGACTAGCATTTGATTTTCTATCAAGTTATTTTAACTTCTAAATTAAACATGATGGAGACTACACTTCATTATTAGAATTCAGTTTGACTGGTGATTATTTTTAGAAAAATTCAGTCAAGCATTAAAATTATACTAATTTAGTTTGTGACTCTGAATTAGTACATTCTGAAGTGGGTGTTAGGGAGATAATATCCAGAATAGTAGAGTTATGTAATTTTAGTTGATGTATGAAAATCTGAGATTTATCTTAGTTTGTATTGATGACAATAAAAGAATTAATTAATTGACACTGTGTTAATTATATCTATTTTATCTGAGCGCCTTTGATGTTATCAAAGAATCCGAGTGATTCGAAATTTAATTCGGATATTTATAGATACTCCATGGTTATTGTTTAAGCATTAGATATCTTTATCAAACTCCTTTGAAATGATAATGTCTGCATCGCAGCAGAATCAAGTTTATTAACTATAAATTTTTGAAAGTATAATAGCTGTTTTTGTAGGTTGTTGGCACTTACTAAGTGTGAAATTTTAAATGATTGAATTGAATTAAAGGTTGATGAAAATTCACTATAAACAATAGATCCTCTGAGAGCGTATACGTCTGCAATGTTGAGATTAGTTAGGTTAATTTAAATGTAACTCTCACCATTTAATAAAAATAATAAGCCACCATAGTTTCTACAATGAATATTGGATGCAGTAATATTTGAGAGCAGAATATTAGATCTCATAGCATATGATGAATCAATATAGATTGCTCCTCCATTCTCATCAGAATCAATGAAGTGAGTAGTAATATGATTGAATATGGTGTTCTTTATGAGCAAAGTTGCAACACTTTCTATTTTGATGTAAAGACCTGATCCAGATGAATTAGTAATGTTTAGATTTTCTAGGTTAATATTTTAACCAATCAATTTGATATTTCCAGTGATAACTCTGATTGGGAATATTTACTTTATTTGTTCAACAAAGATTTCTTCATTTTTATGGAATCCCCACAATAGATATGGTTATATGATAGAATATTAGAAGATTGAGTTCTGAAAGAACTTTGATTATCGAATTGAGATGGACTTGGCTTTAAGTGATATCACATTATCAGTTGTATTTGTAACAAGATTATCTTCGACTAAGAGATTGGTTATTTTAATTGTACAGTAAGGACAATCGAAATTGAAGATCAGTCCTGAATATATTCGATCATTTTGTTCATATTGATGCATTAAGTTATATTTCATAAAGGAATTGAGAATGGTAATTTGATATTCTTATTCTGAACTCATCTGAAAAAGCGAAGTTGATTTCATCTTGTTAATAATGATTATTAAATTATTAGTAAAGTTGATTTCTTCTAAATGTAATGATTTCGAGGTTGAAGAGACAGCAATAGAACTCTATATGTTAATGATTGGATAATTGATGGACTCAGCCATATCTATTGTCAATTGACGGATGTCTATTTAAGATACATCATACAGATAGAGTGAAGTAATGTAGTACTCACTTTAAATGGATCTTGTGAAACAATCCACATATTGATGAAGACCTTTGAAGAGATGTTGTTCGTGTTATTGAATGTTGATTCGATTTAGATTTAAGTATATTACATCTGCAAACGTAATGTCTCTTATGCCATAGGCTCTTTCTATTGATAAATCAGTGACACTCACATTCTATATTTACAGATAGAACAGAGTTGTTAGTTGTTGTTCCAAAAATTGTAAACTTGGAATTGAAGTTAATGTGTTCGCAATTAAACTTAATTTACTGATCCTTATTACTTTATTCGGACTAAAACTTTCCTTTACTTTGACTAAGGATGAACTTTAGTCATATTTATTTAATTTAAATGAGACATCTTAAAATGTATACAATGTGACTTCAACATTTTTATTTGTTATTCCAATTGATTCAATAGATAACTCATTACTTTTAAATTCTACACTTTTCAAGGAGGAGTATCCATTCAAATACAAGATAGTCGAATTAATTATAATAGAATTGAGTATCAAAAATTGAGTGATTTCAACCTAAAGCAATGTTTCAAAATTAAAAAGACCATTGGTGTTTGATATTTGACTATCTTCAATTTGGATGTTATTGATTATCAAATTTCCAGATACTTATTTTAAAAATGATACTTGGGTAAATTTGGAAGCAATTTTTACGTTGGATACCTCTACAAAATCAGTCTCCTTCAAATTTAAAAATAGCAGAATTATGTTCTAGGCTTAACTTGAGATGCATTCAATATTAGATATTTTAACATTTTAGATTTAAGGTATTTGATCAATTGTAATAAAAGCTTCTACATTATTAATATCGATGTTGGATAATTTAAGATTTTCAATTACTACATCATTTGAATTCTTGATAATGATTTATTGTTTCTGATTAGATGCATCTCCAGTATATATTAGATCACTCAACTAGATTTGTTAAGTGAAAGAACTCACAAAGATTAATTATTTTTAGTTATTGATTTCAAATGGAATCATTGTCATCTTTGAAAGATAAACTCTTTTGAAATTGATGAATGATATCACCTTATCGAATTTAAATGTTGTAATACTATTGCCATGAATCTCAAGTTCCACATTTCTAAATAGAATATATTAGTTACATGGCTGAGAAAATATTCTAGCTGAAGATTTGTCTAACATTCTTGGTGTTATTGATTGTACAAGTTTAAGGTTTGTTACTGACAATTTTAATGAGGATGGTTTTGATGACTTTTTCATTTGCTTATTTATAGAATTCATCTGTTTCAAACTATGATATGGTGGTTAAATACTTATTAAAAACTGTTTGGAGAAAACAGATCATTGATTAGGATATTAGATTATTTGAATATTTTGACTTCAACTTCTGTTAACAATTAATTTAGAGCATCATTGTAATCTGAACTAGAACAATACAAATTTAAGTTGATTTATAATTTCCTTATGCATTCAGCATGTTCACAATTAACAAAGATGCCTAATTGTTAATCGAAGTAACCATGGAATTGTTTTAGACATTGATTCGATGAATATTTGAAATTTGCATTATTAAACAGAGGATTTATGGCCATTATTTCATCTTGATCTCTTTGACGACATAATGAGCAACTAATTGGACATTGAATACATTCATTATCATGAAGACTCAAGAATCTACCATCAATGAAATCTGGACATTTAACACATATATTTTCATTGTTAATCTTGATACATTGTATACAAGAGTCAGGACAAGCCTTAATACATAGATTCTAGTAAAGTTCATAACCTGATTAACAAAATTTACAGACAACTTCATAATCTTCTATATTTTACGATGTGCCATAATCGATAAAAGAATGCGATTGTAAATTATCATCTATTGCTTATCTATAATAAGGTCGTATGTCAGTTTTCCAATTATCTTTGGATTTCATATTCTGTTGATAACAGGATAAACAATGAAGATTGATAGGACATGGTTGACATTGTCCAGTCATCTTTTCTGAATAATACCCATTGTTACAAATTAAACATAAGTACGATACTTTTGTATTCACTTGACCTTTTATGCAAGTATAACAATTTTGATTAAGTCCAATGCATCCAGTAGTAAATGAAACAGGATCTATAACCGATGTTTTAGGTCCAAAAAGACAGATATCATTACCACTACTAGACAGACGATAATTGTAGGAACATGAAATCTATGATCTCATAACACAATGTAGTGTCTATTCATCGAATGAGTAAGGTTCCTTACACTTTGCGCACTTAGTAATTATTAATCCTGTGTAAGGTGTAAATGAATGATCCAAAGTAGTCAATCTGTCATGTTCAGCAGCTACTTGGAATGCATATAAGCAATTTGTTATTGTGTTTTTGACACAATCCACTCCATTCAAAGATTGGAAGTATTTTTAATCATCTACACACTTTAAACATTTCATGTAAGGCTGAAGAGTATACAAATTCATTTATGAAATGCAAGTAGAACAGTAATTACCACAACTCAAACATGAAGTACCAACTGCTTCGTATCCAGATGGACAAGATAAACAATTAAGTGAATTACAGGATGTGCATCTCAATGAACATTACTCGCATTTATCATTTAATAAGTAATATCCTTACATGCACTCTAAACATTTGGGTTCCTTGTATTCTGTTCGTTTACAGTTTACTTCTAACTAAACGCATTGATTATTGGAAAAGTAATGATTCTCTTTACAAATTAGATAAACCTTATTTGACAGATGTCTCATTTATTCAAATTCAAAGCAATTCGGCAATTCATCATCTGTATTACAATAGTCAGATGCACCTTCAATTAATTGTAAATTGAAATTCTAATCAATAAAATACACATCGTTATCCACACTTGATCTTTATTACTTTCTATAAGCATCTTCTGAAAAACTTATCTTCTGAGTCACATAATCTGTTTTACAAACTGGAAATAGAGGCCAAGTGTTGGGATCGAATAAACAATCAACACACAACAAATCAGTGGAAGTTGTTTGAGGACTACATAAGAAATAGGAAATTACCATCTTATGCATTCCTTATTGACTTCTAAATAGAAATAACCGAATGGACAAATGGAAGTTGTCTAATCCATAGGCATTTCATCAAACTATAGTGTTGGATATATATCATTAAATGAATAACAGGTGCCATCGATCTCTATGTAACCATAGGTACAAAAACAAGTCTGTAGGTCTTCTGACCATCTTCTATTTAAACCATCTTTGCATCCCAAACAATTAGACGCTAATGGGCCAACACAATTGAAACATGTAGGATGACATTCTTTATAGTTACTATTATAAACATACAAAATTAGATATCTTCATCCACCTCATAATTGTAACAGAATTGAAAATTTTACATTTGTCCACGCAATTTTCTGAATACGGTTAAATCACCTCCAAAAATAATATAGTATTTTGTATTTATAAATAAGCCTTGTGCATTGAAATCATCAAAAAATATGACATTCAATTCATACGTTTGTCCTTATTGAAAATTGATTTTCATCTAAGACTTAAATAAATCTGACAACCCATGTTGATATACTATAAAATGCCATTTGGTCAATCGGGTTTAGAAATTAGGACTTAATGGATCATCTAATCTCTTCCTACCTACAAAATTAGGATTGACTGGCCCTTACACAGGCATATTATAATGATGAGATATAATATTATAACCACTATTAGCAGGTTCAGCAAGATCTAAATCTACTGTGATTTTCAGTATTTCATCTCCCAATCTCAATTCATCAGAATATAACTTAAACGTTGTTAATCGAAGAACCAAATATGTTGTAATAAAACTCGCTTCTGATGGATCTAATTTTATCCAGCCAGAAATGTAAAACTTCTATCCCACTTCATTCACTTCAAAATTTAACTACGTGTCCCCTTAAAAGTTCTTTAGCCCTGGTATTAAATTTACAATCTATTTCCCAACAACATTACGTGGGATTGCGCAATTCTCTTTAATTAATTGAAAGCTGTTTCCTGAATAGTCTGTGAACTATATTAATTTCGACAATCTTCCTCTGAAAATCCCCAATTGATGGGAAGTATTGATCTAATAGCTATTTAAATAAATTTACAATTCCAGTTCCTCCTATTATGAATTTTACATTATTCAATTCTTAAGATAGATCAGGTATCAAATGAGTTGACATTGCATTCGTTTCCACAATCACACTTTTCTATTATATTGTTATCATAGTTAGGCACCATTTTCCTTCATATTCAGATGAAAAATAAAAATAATCGAATACATTATTGCTATCGATCTCCTCCTCTATATACAGTCTATGTGAGACCAAAGGCATGAAGTCTGAAAATGCAAGATGCATAAACATTATCACCCTCTCATCATCAAGTGATTTCAATAGAAATAACAACTATTCATTTCTATTATCAACATACAACTTTTCTTCAACCTAAGGGTACTTCTTTACTTCCCACATTGGAATACTAAAACTCCAAAAAGCAAAACTTTAAGATGACCCTATACTTTCTATAATAGTTTCTTCTATAGGACTTGAGCTACTTAACAAGGACAACTCATAATCAAGAAAAGGACAACCCGCAGTCAATAAAAAAAGAATAGAAAATACTGACTGTTCAAACAACACGAATCTTCCCTTCTTAATCATTAACAATTATTAATTTCTTTTAATTAAATAAAATCTTAACAATAGCTCCATTTAAAGGTGAATTCAACATAAAGAACTCACTCCTAATATTGTGTTTTATACAAATATGGGATATTTAATTATTTAAAAAAAATAAATTCATTATTTTGTGATGATAAAATTAACTATGAAATCTTTATCATACGTTAAAAGTATAAATATCAAATACTCAAAAATAAGAAGGGTAAAATAACAATTCAACTGACTCCATCAACTTGTTTAAGTAATATAAAATGGGATGAAGGAAATGAAGGAATTAACAAATATGTGGTTGTGATAATCAAAGGAGAAAGGCTCTTATATTATTTAAGATAATTTAGATTACAACGCCTAATAAACAGACAGCTGATAATCAATAATTATTTAATCGTTCGTTGTGAATTAACTCAAAATTACTTAATCAAATATTATTAACTTATAAATAGTAGCCAATACTCTTCATTGCTATTTACTTATTATATGTAAGAATGAAAATATTTTCAAGTTAATTTTTATTTAATATAAAATTAATTCATTAATTTTTACAGTCCAGTGCCAATTTATTTTAGCAACTCTTTTGATCATAAAATTATAGTTATATAAGATGCAGAATTTTCATATGTCAGTAAATCAGCCAAATAAATGACTAAAATAAATACAGTTAAATGAATACACATGATTAATCAAAGTGCCTCGAAAATGAATAATAAAGTGAAATGAAAGTTGTATTTTTGTATAACGGAATCCAAATGATTATAGAATCAAAAGTGAATGATTACTCTATGATAATTATCAAAAAAAATACTGGTAAAATCTGGACTAAATACAATCTAATAACATGATAATGATACAAATACATATGTTTCTTTCATTACGTTATATATTCTTCGTTTTATCTATTATAAATTAAAAACTAGTAATGTGTTTAATTAGAGAGATAATTGTCTAAAATATATATTTTATGATTTTTCCTAAACACTCTTATGTTATTTCAAATCTATTATTTTTACTCTTATTTATCATTAGAATTAAGTTGATTTACATAAAATCAATCTAGTGCTCTAATCATCATTAACTCAAAAATTGATCATCCATTCTTTTTCATAATTTAGGAAATAAATGTATAAGTATTTATTAATTAATGATCTTAAAAATAATAAATTGCCACATTTGATAAATATAATTAAAAATAAAATCTAATATTATTGTTTATAATATTGAGTTAAAATAATTTTTAAAATAAATTTAAATTACGATTATTCAATTTATTGCAACTTTCATCTTATAGAAAAGGGAACGCTAGAATATTGATCAGATTTATTATGCAATTAAGGATTTATCGTTTTAAATTGAATATTTGTTATTTCTCATTCAATTCTAACTACTATATATATAAAATATACGAAAGATAGGCAAAATGAAATAAAATTCATCACTTATTGGTGTTAAATGTTGATCCTATACCTTATCTAGAATTAGCAATCCAAATAACTTATCAGTAGAAATATTTCAATATTCCAGAAAGAATTATAATTAATTTAAATATATGATACGATCGATTACTTCCCACCTTAGAAGAGCAACTCATCTAAACTAGACTTCAAAATACTTGCCAAAGTATTTCTTGTCTGAGAATGTCAAAGAAAAGTAGTTAAGAGAGAATGACATGCTTTGGATTGCTGCTAATGCAGAGTAATCTAATGTTCAATATATATTAGTGACAAAAGGTGCTCCATTATCGAGATTCAAAAGTTCATATAAGAAGAACCTATCCTTGAACAATCCCCTATTAGACTCATGGATTTAGGAAATAATTATTTCCGACACATAAATCCCAGAAAAAAGAAGACTATGCTATAGCTATTAGATGCCTACGTTGATAATTTGACTCATGAAGAAACCTAATTATTCCAAGATGCCCTGTCCATCTACTTTGATAATACTTATTAAGGGACAGACATGGAGGCCTTGAGTTGTGAAGAAAAGGATTTGCCAGAACAATTATTGTGGCATATCTATAGCTTAATGATATTTGATAGATTGAGCAGCCATTACGCTCGATATGAATATCTGGACTAATTCAGAATTATCGAGTATTTTAATCAACGAGATAAAGTACCAATATAATTTTAATTATAAATGTTTTTAGTCTAAAATCAATCGAGTCAAGTACGTATTTACTTCTCATCCAACATAACCAAATTCGTTGACCTAGTTGATTGCTATTAGTAGAATGCTCTAAGGTATCGAATAAAATGATTACAAATATCTGAAATATGCTGCCAAGTTATTTATTTAATCAAACAAGTAACGAGTTTTTAATGTAATTGTCTATCGTAATGAATTATATAGAAAGTGTCATACATAGAAGAGTCTCTAATCTATCATACCTAATATTTACCCAATCTTATTAAGGCCGTAGCTCAAGCTTATGAACTAGGATTGTAGAACCCTGAAGAATATTTTGAGACTCCAGGTACTTGGTTGACGTTTGATTTTGATAATCATCCAGGAATGGTAGGCATTTAATTTCTATTCAATAGGAAATTGGTATTATGACTTATACACATGGGTTGACAATTGATTTGACTATATAATAGTATAAGGAATATATTTCTGAAGCAAAATTAGAGGAAAATGAGGATTTTAGAAAAATTTTAGAATTATATTAATAAGCATTAGAATATAGTAAAAACTTAAGAGATTTAAGTGATAAGTTTAGAGTCAAGAAGGAAATTTCACTTGAAGAGTTTTATTAACAAATGCCTATATTTAATATCAGAAAAATAGAAGATTAAATTAATTAAATTCTAGATCATATTTTGGCAAAGAATGACGATTCTAAGGACTATTTTATAGCCTTAAAGTTAAAGAAACTTTATTCTATTTTCAGATTAACAGGCGTATTGGGACAAATTAGATTAGCTGGTGAGGATTTGGCAGATGTATTAATATATTGATGTATGCTTAAGATTAACAAAATTAAGCCAATGATTAAAAATATATTCAAAGAAATCTCACTTTTAAATGCCAATGGACAAGCTGCAGATATGGTTATTATTGCCAATTTCCAAACTTAATCGTAATATGACTTAGTCAATGATCTCATCAACTTGTATAAAGTATAGAATGTAGAAATAGTACCTTTGTTGGAAACCTTCTCCTCAACAAACAATACAGACTCTAAAATAACTATGATTGCCAGTAGTGACACACGACAAAGAGATGGTTTGATCTTGACTGAACTTAGAAATATGAGAGAATATAAAAGGAATCCAGAAAAGTACATTTATATGGGGTAGGGCATAACCCCAGAAAGAGGAGGTGGACCATATACATTGATTCATACTAAATATTAAGCTTTAACGAGAGCACAGCGCAAACGACATATAAGAACAATCTAAGGTCACTATTTCACTTCAGAGTTTGCCAGTGAGGACGTTGCATTCACGTTTTTATTAAATGGCTTATCGAACATTAATTATAGTGACGACTTTGAACCTACATATGAATACATGGACTTTTTGTTTGAATTAGGTAAGTTATATGGTTGATGTAGATAATGTAATTGGAGTTCCTTAAAGAGCCATGTAAAAGACTAAAGAGTACAATGACTTATATGTGAAAAATTAAGTTGTCAAAACAATGGTGGAATCTTTCAATTTTGCTGGAAGTAGAGAGATTGCTCGACCCTTCGAAAGTCTAAAAAATCAGAGAGCTATTGTTCAAGCTTATTGTAATAGTGACAGATGCTCCTTCACTCATCCAGAATTAGCTTATTGGGATAGAGTTCCAGAAGAATTAATCAACAAAATTGCAACTTATTATTATAATAATCATCCTCATATGAAATATATGCTTTATATGTATGCTTTGATGGCTAGAAGATGTGACTTAGATTTTGCAAAACAAGAAGTTGGATTAGACACAAATAATCCATATTTTTAAGCAATGTAAAAGGGAAGAGCAGCATTAATGAAAATTTTAGATCAATTAGGTTTGGGTGACAATAGCACTCCAATGATTGCTATATGGAAATAACATTTAGGTTGTTAATTATAATCAATGAATATGGAAGTCAATTAAAAGTTTACAACATTTAGAACTTTGAATTAATTGCAATTGTATTAGGCGAAGAAAATGGTGAAACATGGAATTTTAGAAACTGACATGGTTGCAAGTGAAAGAAAATTGAGAATCTTGCAATCTACATTAGCAAACATGACCTCTTTTGCTGGAAAAGGTTGAATTTATTATAATAATATCTATATTAAAAAATCATTATTTGTAATTAATTCATATTTATATCTGATAAAAAGTATGATGTTAGATCAACATGAATTTTATCATTCACTATGACTTTTTGAGATTTTATAGTTTGAGATAAATCTTTTTTAGAAAGAGAATTTACTTCAATGAATCATTATAATGTTTAGAAAGTTGATAAATGCTAAAAGGAAATAATTATGGTTGAATTAATTTTATCTTATAATTTTAAGATCATTTTTGAATATAAGATAATCAACTTATGCTTTAAAGTTTACCCAAATTATTTAATGAAGTTGATTTATACTATGTAAAATCCTACCATAATTTTCGAAAAGGATGAAAAACATTAAGGGAATGTATTAATTAAAATTTTGATCATTTTCTGCAAAAGAGATGAAATAAAAGCATGGAATATACTAAGAGTAAGTTGATGCTGTTCTATTAACAAAAATATTATAACTAAAAGTAGACTAAATGGATTGATCTATTAACAGATTGCCAAATTTATAGGATAGATATAAAATAGGACCATAAAACTAAACTATAACATATGAAAATATATATCATTTAAAAATTTAATCGTTCCAATCAAAATTTTGTCTTTAACCTAGCAACCTATTTTTATAATCCGAGTTAATACTTGTTTATCCATGAGCGAAGGCATGGTTTTTTCTTAATAAATAGTTGTCATAAAGAAGTATAGCCTGACTGAAGCTGAAAAATATTGCAAAAAAATTTGGATTGGACTCAGAAAACAATAATAAATGGTTTTATGTAGTTGAAACTACTCTTTCAAAATGGATTCTAAAGATTTAGGACTAGATATGATTTAAGCTATGCTTTTTTTTGTTACTTTGGAGTGGAGATTAGCTTGACTATGCATAATACATCTAACTTAAAGGAAGACTATGAATAATAGTTTAATTTTTTAAATCAGTATGTTTAAAGATGTAAAATCAAGAATTGTTTATTTGATAATTTTTATCAAGGTTAAAATTAATTAAGTGATGATGCCCCTATAAAATTGTTAAATAACTATAGAAAATGAAAATTATTATTAATTTGGTAGACATTAATGAAAGAATCTAAATAATCTTTATAAGTTTAACAGAATTTATAAACTTAATACTGAGTTACTATGAGGTAAAAAGAAGCAAAGTAATAAAATTTTTATGAAGATTACTAAAAAATATATTTCTATAAAATGTTGAGTTAAGTGTTAAAAGAAAAATTAAGGAAATTTATGAATTTGTTATGTATATTGAAATGTAAGCCAGCTTTCAAAATTGGTGGAGATTTTATTTTATATGATGAATCATTTGTCATTGTGAACAGTTTTGGAAAGTTCTAGGAAGTTCTAGGTTGCGCTCTATGGGCAAAAATGTTTGAATATTTCTGTTAGTTGATAGAGGATCTTACAGATTAAAGATATTCTAGAAAATCCTCTTGAATCT